TCTGTGAAACACCTTCACGGACACACCCAGAAATAATGCTTTAGCCCTTCTCTAGGTATTCCTTATTCCAGTCTAGTTGATACCTAAAGTAAACTATCACACCATGTAATCCATGCTAGGCATGCTCACCATGGTGCTCACCACCAGACATGCTCACCACCTCAGAGTTTCTGGGAAAGACAGACATTAATCCAACAATCTTTCAAACAAAGAAAAATTACAAATGAGGCAAAGAGAAGGAAGGATGACTCTTAGTCCTGTGAAATTTCATAATGGGAGAAGGGGTGTTCTCTCCTTATGTTTGGATTGGTGTTGCAAATAGTGATAACAACACATGCAAAGGCCTTGGAGCTGTCAGGAATGTAACACTTTGAGGGGTTTAAGAAAACCTTGGGTAAAGGAAGCTATAAAAGCAGGAGGGCTTTGCAGGTGGCAGTTAGGCCTCCTAGGCTTTATCAAAGAATTTATCCTAATGAAAACAAATAAGGCCACGAGAGCACGTGGTTAGGTGGCTCTAAAATGGTCCCCCATGCTCCCTGCCTCCCAAGATTCATGTCTTTTTGTAATCTCCTCCTTCGAATGTGGGTTGGACTTAATTCTAATGAACAGAATATGCAAGAAGTGAAGGCATGGTGGGATATCTGAGCTTGGGTTACATAAACAGATTGTGGCTTCCATTTTGGGTGCCCTTTCTCATTCTTTCCCTCTCTCCCTCAGCTCCACAGCTGTTGCACAGAGAAGAAACTCAGATAGCCTATGGGATGGCCCATGTAGTAAGGAACCCAGACCTGATAGCAACATGGGAGTGAGCTTGAAGTGGATTGTCTCAGGCCTGCCAACATCCACAGGTGTGAGTTCATCAGCAGATTTTCCAGGCCCAGTCAAGCTTTCAGGTGACTACAACCAGCCCCATCTGTAATCTGAACTACAGCCTCCCTAGGGACTCTGAGCCAGGGCACCCAACTAAGCCATGTTCATATCTCTGACCCACACAGACCAAGGGATAAATACACGATTGTTTTAAGGGGCCAAGTGTTGGAGTAATTTGTTATGCAAAGATAGTTATCCTTAGATAACTCTCTCAGTCAGCTTTCTATCGCTGTGACAAATACCCAAGATAAATCAACTTAAAGGGAGGAAAGGTTTACTTTGGCTTACAGTTTCAAAGATTTCAGTCTGTTGGCTCCATTGCCTTTGGGCCTTTGGAGAGGCAGCACATCTTGGTGGGGAACAGGTGGTGCAGCAAAGCCGTTCATCTCCAGGCAGCCAGGAAACAGAGAGAAAGCAAGGGACCAGGATCCTAGAAGCCTCTTCAAGACTATGGCTCCCAGGGACCTACTTCCTCTCACTAGGCCCCACCTCCTAAAGGTTTTATCACCTCCCAGGAGTGATGAGGACCAGGCTGAGGACCAGGCCTTCAATACATGGGCTTTTGAGGAATACTCCAAACCATATTCCATAGTAAGATAGCATATTTCATTCATTCAATAAATACTGAAAAACTGCTAAATACCAGATATATTTTAGGTGCTGACAACATACATTTTAAATATTTTTACATATTTATTTTTTGAATTTGTAACATGAGAACAGGGTTTGAAATTCTAAAGTAACCCTCTAAAAACTGGAACAAGACAGGGATGCCCTCTTTCATCACTTCTATTTAACATAGTTCTTGAAACACTGGCCAGAGCAATTAGACAAAAGAAATTAAAGGGATATGTATAGGAAACAAAGAACTTAAATTAGCACTATATGCTGACAATATGATTCTATACCTAGAAGACCCAAAAAGATCCACCAGAAAATTTCTAGATTTAGTAAATGAATTCAGCAAAGTAGCAGGTTGTAAAATCAACACCAGTGAATCAAAGGCATTTCTGTATATCAGTGACAAATTCTCTGAGAGGGAAATGAGGAAAACATTTACAGTAGCCTCAAAAAAAAAAAAAACAACTTGGTAATCAACTTAACGAAAGAGGTGAAAGATCTAAACAATGAAAACTATAGAACCCTAAAGAAAGAAATCAAAGAAGACCTTAGAAGATGGTCTTTTTGTAATCTCCTCTTGGATAGGCAGAATTAATATTATCAAAATGACCATACTACCAAAAGCATTATACAGATTTAATGCAATTCCAATCAAAATCCCAATGACATTCCTCATAGAAATAGAAAAAGCAATCATGAAATTCATCTGGAAAAATAAGAGACCCATAATAGCTAAAGCAATCCTTAGCAAGAAGAGTGAAGCAGGTGGCATCTCTATACCAGATCTTAAACTATACTACAGAGCAATAGTAATAAAAACAGCATGATATTTGCACCAAAACAGACCGGTAGGCCAATGGTATAGAATAGAGGACACAGAGACTAACCCACAAAACTACAATTATCTTATATTAGACAAAGGTGCCAAAAACATGCAATGGAGAAAAGATAGCCTCTTCAACAAATGGTGCTGGGAAAACTGGAAATCCATATGCAACAAAATGAAATTAAACTCCTATTTCTTCCCATGCACAAAACTCAACTCAAAGTGAATCAAGAACCTAGGAATTAGACCAGAGACTCTGCATCTAATAGAAGAAAAAGTTGGCCCTAATCTTCATAATGTGGGATTAGGCCCCAACTTCCTTAATAAGACTCCTATAGTGCAAGAATTAAAACCAAAAATCAATAAATGGGATGGAAGCAAACTAAAAAGTTTCTTCTCAGCAAAAGAAACAATCTGTGAGGTGAACAGAGACCTACATCTTGGGAACAAATTTTTACCCCTCACACATCAGATAAAGCACTAATCTCTAGGGTATATAAAGAACTCAAAAAGCTAAGCACCAAAAAACCCCCACAAATAACCTAATCAATAAATGGGCCAAGGACCTGAAAAGATACTTCTCAGAAGATATACAATAAATCAACAAATATATGAAAAAATTCTCATCATCACTAGCAATTAGAAAAATGCAAATCAAAACTAGTCTAAAAAAAAAAAACTAGTCTAAGATACCACCTCACTCCAGTCAGAATGGCAGTTATTATGAATACAAAAAACAATAAGTGTTGTCGAGGATGCGGGGGAAAAAGGCACACTCATATATTGCTGGTGGGACTACAAATTAGTGCAGCCAATATGGAAAGCAGTATGAAGATTCCTTGGAAATCTGGGAATGGAACACCATTTGACCTAGCTATCCCTCTCCTTGGT